AGGGTAGTCAGTAGAATAAAGCACATTCAGTATGTCCTCTCCCTCGTTGCTTTTTAGTTCTACTTTTACTTGTCAGTATCCCTCGATAAGAGCTTTAAACATTTTATATACTAAGGGATAAAATGGATTTGGTTTTTTTAGAGCACAAGATCCTGTTTATGTCTATTTTTTGAATGCTCTTTTGACCGAAAAGTAACAATTTTATGGTTGTTGACTATCAGTTATGTGAATAAGATCGTCGCTTCGAAATTTTAAGATTTTCAGCTGATATTAACGATTATTTTTTCGTCTTGAATTTTTGTCACCTAATTTATTTGAAGTCGTCTGACGCGTTTTGGTCAAGCGAACACCGGTTATAATTAAGTTTAATGCCGGGAACGCCTTTAGAAATCGGCTGAAGAGCAACATGCATTCAAATGGTAAGCGGCGAAGTGACTTGCAGAACAAAGGAAGCCTTTGATCGCCATCCGCTCACAAATTTCCCTCTGTTCAATAAAGAATTTATAAGTTAAAGGCTGTACTTGAGCTTTCTGGTTCTATTTTGATACATTTAAACAAATTGGTCTAGTCTACTCTGGTTTACTCTAGTATAGTCTGCTGGTAGATTCTTTGAACTCAATAAATTTCAGTTATAAAAAGTACTTCGTCCAACTAGACTTGCCAATCGGATACCAAGCTACAACAACTCAGGCGTTCTTTGTGAAAAAAATTGTGTGTGATCCTTGATAAAAACACATGTCACTCAAAGCGAAATACAAAAATAGATCTGAAGGCCTTAGTCATTTTTTAAGATCTTAGTTATTTTCTCTCAATACTCGTTCACAATTATTTCATGTGATGGCAGCTGCATCAGACTTATCCCCAAGAATTAGGTTCAAATCTCGCTGAGGAATGAGCAAGCCAGTATTTACCGTCAGCTTCTCGAATTAAGGTACTATATCTTAGGTACTATGTCTTACCAGTTATCTTTATCTTCACATCTCCGGTGCTCTACGCATTGTCGTCCTCATCCTAAGAACTGAGTTAAATTTTCAAATTCATCTAAGTTACTAAGATTCGATCAACATAGTGTTCAGACTCTTATATAGGTCGTGATTATTTTTTTGTTTTTCGTTTTTTTTTTCAGGAAAAGTCTAAAAATTTGTTCAGGCTTACTTAATTTTTCGCGGTTTGAGTTTTGACTTTTTTAAAAGTTCAGTTCATTTCTTTTGCTAAAAGGAAGGCAAACTCCACTATCGAACAGCGACAGTGTATTTTAGTTTTCAGATTTTCCAGCGGAAAAAAATTTGCTGATTGGTCCACGTTTCTCGAATTGGGTTCATTTTATCAAAAAAATTAATCATAAATTATTCTAAAGCTTCAAATAGCTCTAAGGGCATTAATTTTTTCTTTTTTCTTTGAAGTTGGAAATTTCCTTTTTCTTCGAAAACAAGTCACTATTTTTTCTGTTTTCCTTGAGTTCATTTCATTGACTCTTTTCCAACTGTCCGTAGCAATTTTTTTGATCCGAGCTCCCTCATAATGAGGAGTATCAGCGTTCATTTGTTACAGCGTGGATAACAGCCCACTATATCACTGTCTATCTGTTTTTTTTTTCTAATAAATGTAGAAAACTTAAGACAACTATCTTAAAAATAAATTAAACTATTTTGCGTTTATTTCTTCTCGGATTATTCTGATTTTTTACAGCATCTGGCAATCCTTTTGGTGGCATAATCTGATCTTGAATGTATCGCTTATGCCCTTGGTATGAACCTAATCCAGTCCAGAGCTTAACTTTCATTCGTTCATTTTGTACCATTTTTATGTGCATGGGTAACAGTGGATAGCAAGTCACAGACTTCATGTCTCGCTTTCAGTATTTTCTCTCATGAATTGACAGCGTTTGACGGATCATCTTACAATTTATGTTCATTTTATCATTTGATATGCGGTCTACTGATAATATCTGTCGGCTTGTTAGAACAGGAGCAGTGCAATGAGAAAGGTAGTTGTTTTTGTTTCCTTTTATATTCATAACAACGGTAAGATTGAAAGAACAGCGGTTCTATTCGATCATGAATTTAATAAGAATGGCTTTTTGTAAGAAAGAAAATGAAAAATAATTTATTTTTCCAAGAAAAAAAAAGAAAAATAGGATCTACTTAACAATCGCCCGCCCCTATTAATAAAAGCAGTAAATTAGCGCTAGAGCTTTGTTTTGAGAATTCTAATTTTACTGCAATCTGATTGGTCGAAAATGCGTTCTTGTAATCTACTTAACAATTGCCCCCCCCCTTTCTCAAGGGGGGGGGGGGCAAGTGTTAAGTAGACTCGAAAAATAATTTATTTATCTAATAAGTACAAGCTAACAGGCAAATTTTTGATACATATGAAATACAAAAATTTCAAATATCTAAAGACGAGCAAAAATTATTGAGGGTAGACTAACACCAGCGGATTCAGGGATTCGACCCCCTGCCGACCCAAAAGGTCCCACTTTGTTATATTTTAGGAAATCCCTATTCGGCTGACTGACGCTCAAATTTTTCTAAAGGCGCCTGTATATACTAATTTTGAGGGGGATTGCGCGCCGAAAACACGTGATTTTTCGGTCAACATTTTTTCAAAAAGTGCCTAAAAACGCCTTTTTCGGCCTGTTTTTTTTTCAAAATTTTGCCTGAGGCGCAGAAATTTTGGCCAAAACAGGGGCTTTGTTGTGCTTGGGGAGAGCTCAGAAAATCAATTTGACGACCTAAAAAAAAACAAAAGGTCGACAAATTTTTTGAAAATTGAAATTTTTTGACTAACTTTTATCGAAAATTTTTAATTTCTGAAACCTTATTTGTGAGCTTAATTGTGAGCCTCGCAACGAAAAACCAGTACGTATCTTAATATTTAATCAAAGGGTCTAATAAAGATGAAGCTAAATCCGATCCGATGGATCTAATTTTTGCCAATTTAGAATGAGAAAATCAAAAAACGTTACAAATGTTACAAAAAGTCAAATCATCCCGGCAAAATCAGATCCTAAACGGCTAATTTAAGTGCAGCTATCATAGGCATGTAATCTAAGCTAAAAAATGAATTTTTCGATTCTTAAAATATACAAAACCAGTTCTGGGTTTCCCATAATAAAACTTAAATTTGTTTTTTGCCCAAAAACACACATTCAAGTTTGTTTTTCGACATATTTCTTTTTGTAAGTCATCGAATTTTTTCTCACGAAACATTTATTCATATTGCGCTCTTTTTTTCCAATGAGTTTGACTTCTCTTCGTACTGATAAAATAATTCTTCTCTAGACTGGATTATCTGACCTTTTAGTGTCTGAAAATTTTGAAAGCATGCATATCATTTACAAAAACTTGTCGAATGAAAGCTTTCAACTGACCTAATATAGAGCTCTGAAAGATTATAGACATAAAGTTTATTGATTGTTGGAACCATGTTTTCAGCAGATTTAAAAGAAATACTCAATTTTTTTTCAGAAGTTCATTGACAATATGACAATACGGTAGGTATGACTTCAATATTCATCTGAAATCCTGTTGCTGGCTGTATAGAAATAGCACCACAGAGACCGAATACTTGAATTTATTATAGCCAATCAGAACTCAGTGTTTTAAAAATCAAAACGAAAATAAGCGTGAAAATGTTCCGTTTTTGACAAGTGAAATAATGACGATGATTGGTTGATTTTTTCTGGACTTCTTGTCATACGGTCATGAGAGTAGCAGCCTTGCAGTATGACATTGTTTGTGTTCCGTTAAAAACAGAAGATCAGGGGGGGATGTTATATTGTGGCCGGGCTGTTCTGATGAGTACCTTTGAGTCACTCCATCAATCAGCATCAGGTGTGGTGTAGTCACTTGTCAATGTCATTGCCACCTGAACCACTTTACATTCTGCTTCCTTTAACAGATCCGAAAAGTCATTTATTATTGGAACTCTGAGCAGTTACTTTTCTATTTCTTTTCTAGGCAATTATTTCAAAAGTTGCGTGTCAAGAAACGACTCTTATTAACCCAATTTCTCCTGTCACGTGACTTGTCTGTAGTTTCTAGGCTTTGCAGAGAATAATTCTTGCGTAGACTGACAAAATGGAATTATTATTGTGTAATTGTATTAGTACCATGGTGTAATGGTCTAATTCTTATCCTTAGGCCATGCCTTGGAGTCGTATTGCCAGTTAATCCAATTTGTTCCTTCTAGCTGCTATTTAAGTTTCAATTTACTACCCTTTTGTAGTTTCTTTGGCTTTCATTTCGTTTTTCAGCATGTAACTGCCAATATTACCCCAACAACGACAGTTATTTAATGCCATTTTTTAAACTGTTGTAGCAGTTTTTTTTTAATTGTAGGCTTTATAGTCTGCTAGTAAAAATCGCACTATTTTTCATGACGCACCACCTCAAGCACTTATCCAGATTATACCAAGTATTGGAGCATGTTTAACCATAACTGTATATGACTACTACCAATCTAAATCCATACTGTTGTTTATTCTGCCTTAGAGTTACCATTTTCCATCTATAATTCCTTATATTTTCCTTCCTTTTCTTGTTTCCACCCCGTCTTAAATTTGTACTTTGCACGCAGGCGCACTAAAACTGACTGTCAGAGGCCGCTATATCAGCAGACAGGACTAGCAGCAGAACCGATCTTATAGCAGCAGATTCTATTCTGAGTAATAAATTCTGTTCCAACGGTATATTTAAGAAATTTCTGATGTTTTTTCAACGCTATTATTAAGTTATAATTTTCCGGCTAAACCATATTTTTTAAGCATTTTCATGGTTTATAGAATTTAATCTTTATTTAGATATGGTTTTTAATATACTTACGAAAGTTAAGTTGTTTAAATTTTTACTAATGATCCCTAAAACGAAAACATAAATTGTAACTTAATTTTTGTAACTTTTAGTGTTCTTGATCTGGTAGGCTGAATAGACTAAGTAGCAACTGCCAATAATATTCGTTTCCGTACTATACTATTAATTCCGCGCGCAATTCTGCCGCCTAGCCTGTGTTGCTCCATTGCACTACTACTGTGTACTGTTAATTTTTCATTATTTTTTGAGTTTTTAATTCCAAACACCGTCGTAGCACATATCAGTCTACGTTTTAATTTCCTTCCACCAGTCCAATTTGATTCCATTTTTTGTTTCTTTCTTATTCCGTCCTGATAAAATTGTGAGAGGTTCAAATTTGGCTTGTCTATTTGAAAATTTCAACAGCCTATCTGACAACTTCTTGTTTTTTTTGTTCGCTTGGATTTTTTGATATGGTTTTTCTGGGTGGGGAATAAGTTTTAGTTGAACTGATTTTCGTCTGATTTTTGTCCCTAGGAATCAAAGCAAGTTAAATACCAATCAGCAATCAAGTGTCAAATGGTCTTCGTTCTAAGATTTCGTTCAGAGAAATGGACAAATCATTTTGAATTCGAACAATTCCGTTTTGGTCGTCAAAAATTTATTCTAAAAATACAGAATTAGTGATTAGATGGGTTTTGCCCTTGTAATTCTTTTGTCCTAACTGCAAGTCGTATTCTCGCTTTTGGACAGTTTGAATTAGATTTAACACCAGCACAACATTGTAACCCATTGCTAACCGTGACGTGATTATGATTGGAAAGGGAATTAGAGGCTCCTAAATTCATTATTACTCTATGCACCATTGTGATATTTTATACAAGAGACTTACCTTCGCTTTTCCATACCAATGTACAATACAAACCTCATGAACAACACAAAACGGCAATGGTCATTACGGTTGTGCAGTTTTGCACTTCGCTTATGATCAGCAGCATCCAATGTGTTACAAGTGGTCAATTCACAATTCATTCGACACGAAATTTGTTCACTTTTGTTTTACGGTGCCCACTTAACATGCCATAACCATTGCTTCTTCCCCAATACATTAAATGGGCATAGCCGCGCCCAATCAGAATAGACTGAAGTACAATCTGCACCGCCTCCCTTCCTTTCTCTTTTGGACAACAGTTTGTAATTGCCCTGCAGTACAATGCGCCATTTATAGCTCGAATTCTAAACTTTTCATTGTTGAATTATTTTCCTGCCTTCTTTTTATAAGCGTGCTATATAGATTTCGTCCTACTTTTAAACCTCAGTATCTTATTAATAGGCCTGTAATAGGAGGTTTATGGCAAATATTGGTTACTACTGTTCTAGATGATTCTATTTGTTAATTAGTTTTAGTTGACATAGTTTGTGTTGTTCCAACTTACCAAAATCATAGCAGTTCTAATGCCGACTATCGAAATCTGGCTTTTGACTTTTTTGTACAACGTGAACAAATGATTGTCTTAGTTTAAATTTATCATTTTTCATGGGATTTTTTGGTATCGTGAATTTTGGGCATTTCATTCAAGTTGCTAATTTGGGCTAATTAATGCGAGCAATGATCCCCTATTAATGAGAGCTATAACAACGCGAAAGGAAATCATTAATCGGGCTCATGATTCTTTTTCAGCTGAATCGAGTCAAGCTTTTTTGGTCCAAATTATACGCTACTTGAGTCAAATTATATCACTTACTACTTGAAATTTTGTGTGGGTGGGTTTGAGTTTTGAATTTTTATTGCCTGAAAGAAATTGAGAGATATCTGAAAGCAGTCGGAAACTTGAGGGGGCTTTGTCCTGATACGAGCAGTGATATTTCAGCTAAATTTTTAATGAGGTAAGCACGAGTAATTTTCTAACGTCGCTTTTACCGCGCATTTTATTTACTTTTCATTTATCGATTTTTATTTTCTAAATTTTGCCCGCTGGGTTGATTTACTTGGACTATATTTTTTTCGAATTAGTATACAGGTGAAATGTCTTTGAATTCCGTGTTCACATTATGAACAAATTTCTGCAGAATATAAAAACTGTCTAAGCAGATAGAAACTGCTCTGATTTTCTTTTTGATTTTAAGACGGGAAATTCCAGGTCGAATTGCCAATCTGATTATACTGGGATATTTTCAATGTTTTAACTGGTTTTTAATGCTCCTTATCCTATTGAGTTTTGAATCAATAAATAAAAAATAAATAAATTCGTCTGTTTTCTGTATGTTCATTTTTTCTAATTTTTAGATTTCGTTGTAAAAATTTGCATGAGCGGAACAATCTGTGCCTCTTGCACAGCAGTCGGCACTCTTTTTTGTTCCCACCAATGAAAGTGGGGGAAACTTTGTCTTTTGATGTGTTTTACTTATTTATTACAAATATACAAAAGCTCTTTTAGCCGTAACTATCGATATCAAAGTTTCAAAAAAGTTAGTCGAGAAAAAGTGGTTTGTGGCCATCTGTGTTTTTAAAAGAAAGCATGCTTAGTGAGCACATACTCTCTTAAAATGGTTATTTTTTGGTTTTGCGGTGAACGAAAAGTTTCTCATTTGAAGTAAGTCTAGAATAATTTGGGGTTTTATTTGGGTCGATTTTGCGTAAATATTACTCAATGAAATGGAGATAGTTTTTAACAATTGCTGTAATTGAAAGTTAATCATTACCAAGTTCAGTCCTCTGAAACTGAGATAAAAAAGCGTCTATGTCGTTAGAGCCTCCCGTCTCAAACAAGTTCCGGCTTAAGCTACTTCATCGTGTTAGTGTATCAAAAAAGCGAAAAATTGTTTTGGTTGTTTCTTTCAACTTTAAGGTTATTATAACTTTTACAGCTGTTAGTTGGATGTTTTTTCATTGCCCCAATATGATGTTTCGGTACTTTAAATGTTTCTTGAAAATTAACGAAGTCGTTTGTTTTTGTTCCGACATGGTCTTGAATTTACTTGGAACTATGGCGTGTTTGCCCATATGGCGTGTTTGCCTATCACGTGTTTGCCTATCACCTGAAGAACGTGTTTGCCCGTTTTATGTACTTCAATTAAAAGCTGCAAGGATTCGAGTGTGGTGTCGTTTAATTTGTTGTAGTTCCGATTCCCACGTAAAATTCAAAAGTTGTATCAAAGTTGTATCAGGTTCGAAAGTCGTATCGAAAATTTGTTGAGATGCAGATAATTGAGTTTCAAGATTTTGTATTAATCACCGAATCCATTTAATATTTATTTTCACATGAAAGATTCATTTTATGTTTTTATGCCGTATGGAAGGTGAAATTTTATGGAAGGTGATTTTTTTTTTACTTCTACTTGGTTCGGGAACTAAACGAGAGTTAATTTTTTTAGTACAAATTAGTTTGGACCCTTTTTTTTATTACAAGGACGTGTGCCTAATTTTTTTTATACCTAATTACTTTTTCATAAATGATTTTTTTTCTGTGGTAAGTTAACGCGGGCCGTTGCGTTTATCGAAGTTTTTCCTCAAACTGAACTTCATTTGAGCCATACCTTTTGTAGAATTTTACCTTTTTTTTCCAATTTTTTGACTGCTGATTTCGTCCGATTTTCTTTCCGCTTACCTGCAATGCTAAATGCTTATATAAAGATTTATTTACTGCATATGGATTTTTCAATCCTTATTTTCACTGGAAATTGTTTTTCTCGACCTAATTTTTTTTTCTTTAGTCGTTTTTTGTTAACTAGCTTGTGATGCCGCGTTTGCAAGGTATCTAAAGAGACGTGAGGCTGCTCTTCGTCTCTGTGTATAATTTTATACGGCATGCTATTTGCATAAAACAGTTGCGTGTTAAAATACTTTTGAAGGGCTTAAGTATAATTGCTTGCCAAACACGAATTTAGTACGATGCATTTTCAGCAGTTATTTTTATGCGCATCACATATTGTTGACCCGCATTGTTGACTCTAATTTTTAACAATTCAGATTGAAGCTATCTATATTCATGGTCATTCAAAAATGAGTTGATGGTGGTAAGTTTGAATTTATTTTTTTTCGCACCAGGTTTTTGATTAGTACAGACTGGTTACCATCTTGATTTTTTTTTCGCATAATTGTAAAGGTAAGAATGTATCTTGTTTCTACTGCCAAATATGAATATTTATTTTGCTATGAACATAGTATGGAACTAATTGAACTCATGTGAATTACTGAACTTGAAAATTGGTTTGTTTTCAGCATTTTGCTAACGATTTAAGAATCTGTGAAGTTATTCTGGAATCTTTTTTTGTGAAGTTTTCATAATTCAAGACTTTTTGAACATTTAAATCAAATGAGGTCGGCCGATATATATAGCAATAAAGCTCTTTTCAGCCGTGATTTCATCAATAGTCAAAAACCTTAAAATTGATTTCTGTATCAAGAAAATTTTGCTGGCTTCATTTTTTTTTAGCTTGGAGCTTATGCTTTTTAGACGCTGAAAAAGTCATTAATAGTTTTCCCTAAAATAGCTTTCAGTTTCCCCTGCATGCATGACAAAAAATTAGGTTCGTTTTTTTGCCAAAAAAAAGTGTTGTCGGAAAGTTCTGGGCCACAATATTCAAGTGAACGCTAAGATCATCAAAATGTGTCATATCATGTTTTAGATGTTTAAGTGAACCTTCATTGATTTTAGAGCTGAAGCTAGATAACTCTGATGGGGTCGTGTCTGGTGTCAAATCAGAAAGCAATTCAAGTTGATTCGAATCACATTAAACATACTTTCAGTGACGAGACCAATGACTTGAAATTTTTGCTTTTTAAATTCTAATTAGAGCTAAAGTTGTGTCAATTATTTCACTCATTTTATTTGATGACCTTTTATTTGGTCACTCATTTTATTTGATGACCTTTTATTTGGTCACTCATTTTATTTGGTGCATAAAGTAAATTTTTAATTTTATTTAGCAAAACTTCTTGATACCTCCCAAAGATGACATTTTAATATTATTATCATTCTGTTATTTTTTGTGCTCAAAGCAAGTGACTATCCGGGGCGGATCTAGGATTTTCGAGAGGGGGTGAGAGGCGGTTTTTTAATTTTCAAAAAATTTGTCGACCTTTCGTTCTTTTTAGGTCGACAAATTGATTTTCTGAGCTCTCCCCAAGCACTACAAAGCCCCTGTTTTGGCAAAAATTTCGAAAAAAAACAGGCCGAAAAAGGCGTTTTTAGGCACTTTTTGGACAATTTTGAGCAAGAAATCGCGTTTTTTCCGACGCGCGCTCTCCCCTCAAAGTTAGTGTATATTGGCGCCAAAGGCGCATTTAGAACAAATTGAGGGTCAGTCAATCAAAAAGTGGATATCTCAAAATAGTACAAAGGGGGGACCCTTTGTGTCGGCTTGGGGTCGAATACCTGAGGAAAAGGAGGCGTCCCCCCCTAAATCCGCCCCTGACTACTATTATGAGTTTTTTCTTTTGGATATTTACAATGAATCTCATATTTTTATTACTTCTTGATTTTTTGTTGATTTTTTTGCTCTGAAGTGTTCATCTGATTCTCTGTGATTGCTTCTTTGCTTTTAAATAACAGTTGGACAAAAATTGAGTTATTTGACCTTTCATGCGTAACTCGATTGATCAATAATAGGGGGTAGTAGAAGTACGAATTGGGTGCAATTTGACCGAATGAGGCTGAAAAATTGGATGAAAGGGGCAGAGGGGAATAGGCGAGGGGTGAATTAATGAGTGGCGCCAATCGATAGCGAACCATGCGGACATTATTCTCCTATTCTTACCAAATCGAAACAAAATCAAATAAAGCTCTAAGTGTAAAATAGATAGCTACCTCACCCTGTATAAGAGTGAACTAAGAAAATACATACCAGCGATGCCCTTGGCAGTTTTCTATTTCATTTTCTCTCTTTGTAACCGTTTTATGGCCTTTTTATGACCTGATTTTTTGTGCACTTTCTTTGAAGAAGGATTGTGGCATATAAAACATGAATGATATGCCACTTCGGTCAGATGAAATTATAATCTGAAGGCATCAAATGAGCTTTTGTGTAAAAGTTGTATGTTTTGAACGTGTATGGGTGGGCAAGGGTTTGAAATATATTCTCTGTTCGCCTGTGGCTAAATAGCCACCTGAGTCCAGCGCGATCATCAGTCGAGAATTGTGAATGAAATTATCAGTGGTTGCTATAATGTATTGTATTATCCAGACCAAAGTAGGCCTAAGTATCAAGATGATGGAAATGAGACTGGGTTCGCTTTGATTTCACTTAACACGATATTTTCTAGCTCCTTTTCTTTTTTGTTGGTTTATTTAGCTTTTTAAACCCGATTTAGTAAGTAGGTTACGTGGACCGACCAACGGGCTTACGAACCAGAGTTGTAGTTGATGCCATTTGGTCCACAGGGACGGCTTGCACTGTAGAAATTGAATACGTATCAAAGCAGAGCTGCGCTTCTGTTGTCCTTTTCATTCGTCCTCACCACGTGTGTATTGGGGCCCCTATTTGCACCACTATACTATGCATATTATTCCCCAAATGGGGCATGCTACCTTTTTATAGCCCGATTTACCCATTCTAAAACACAGGGTAGTGCTATCTTTCTCCCTCTCGCCGCCTGTTGTCCTCGTTTAAAATCAAATAAAAAGAGCTAAACTCAGTTCAAAATGTTAAGCCGGCTCAATTTGGTTCCCTTGTGCACTACCCTTGTGCCGCTACTTTTCTTTCATTTGACTTTTTCCCTTTTTTCTTCTGATTTTGTGATCTTTAAACTCTTCAGGTGTGCAATGGCTTATAGCTCTGCAATGCTCCTATGTTTATGCTCGGTGTTCTCTATTCTTCTAGCATCCTTCGGAAGTAATCGCTCAAAACATTCCACCTTATTCCAGCCGCAAAAGTCTCAGAAGTAGAGGTGCCGCAGTCATTTTATAACTATTGGTTGCTAAGCATCTATTATACCACGCGACTACATTTGCTTTTTTATTTCTATTTGCAATATTATCCGAAATGAACACTAGTAAAGATGTATTTCTTTTAAAATATCCAGGGCTCTGTTATAACTGACCTGAAGTATTTTGCTTTGATTTCATTGATAATTGTGTTTTCAATTAAAACTGGATCGGGTTCAAGTTTTCAATTGAAACTGGAGCGGGTTCAAAATTCGGCGGGGTCAAGTTTGAGTCAGAGTCTTGGTTGCGACGATTTAATTGACCGCACCTGATGTTGGTGTTGTTTATTATTTGATGATTACTTGTCTAATATGAGTAGTGGCAACTTGCTACAAGCGGCCGCCAGCAATTCGTACCATGTGCCGTCGCCTAAATCTCTCAGCCACGCCTCAAGGGGCCACAGTCATTCAGGGTCCCACTTGGACAAACCAAGTCCCCCTTTGACCACTTTCGTGGGATACTCACCGATTAAAATGCATCCCCAAAACAACCATTATCATCATCAAGGTCCCAACAGTATTTACAACAGTAGACTGCACGCGCATAGTCAGAGTCAAAGTCCCCAAATGGCGCCCAGAAGTCATCATCATGTGCGAATGTCTATAGACGTCGGACACTCAAGTCCCTCTCACTCGGTGTGCGACGGGCGACAAAGACCTGTCAGTCCCCTGGTCACTGGCGGGGGAGGGGGTAATAATGGTCAGAACGATTATGCAGTTCCTAGTTTGTTTCAGAGCAACTCGGGGCATACTCGTGACACGCTCAACAATGCGGCTATGTCTTCAGTGAACAAGACTCAGCCCGCCAACGGCTCAGTTGCAGTGTCTTCTACATCACAGGGACAGGGAAACAGCAATAGCTCTCAGTCTCAATCAAACCACACACATAGTTTATCTCTGGGAACAGATCCCCTGGGTAATAATAACAGTGCCCATAGTCAGAATCATCTCAGAGCAGTCACCGGAGGGGTTGGGTCGCTAGGCACAGGTCCCATCAGCAGTAGTAGCAGTGGTAACTCGCACCATCACAGACCTTCAGTTCACCATTCTGGGAGTGGGGCAACAGGCAGAAGTAGTAGTTTCAAGAAGGACGACAAAATATCCAGCAAGCTGAAGAAGGCCATCCAGGAGAAGGTGTCGGGCAAGAGTGCGACCGGGGACTACATGCAGGATGTGGGTGAGTACCGAGCCGAGACCAGAAGCTAATTGAACTATCTCCGCAAAGAGATGGAACCATTAAAAAGACTATATAGATGTAAAAACGTAGGTTGCTCGTAAAACAGAACTAATTTGAGATTTGAAGTTATTTATGTAAAATAACATGCCGAGTGGCCTTTGTTTGTTTGTTTTTTTTTCTCCATGTCGTAGCTGTGGTAGCTTGTTGATTGCTGTGGTGTGCTATTTCAGACTCGGACTGGTGTCGCTTCTCGGATGCGATGTTGAGTCGGAGTGCAGAGGCCATCCGGAGACTGGGTCCGAAGATAGAGCGGGACATAGATGTCGCAGAGAGACTCACGGCAGTCATCTGGGAGAACTTGCGGAACCCTGTCAGCAACCCGCTAGTGAGACAAGACAACGACGACGTCTGCCACCCCTGCAAGCGACAGTATCTCTCCATGCACACAGGTAGTCGTACCAGTACTACACCTCTCTTTATCTCATATGTTTTAGTAATGATTAAATCAAACGAACAAACATTTCTTGTTTTTAAGAGTCTATAAACCAAGTTCACACTAGTTACACCGAAGACTTTAGTCAAGGTGTTATGGTATCGTGTAACGGTTTTTTTTTAATGTTGTCTGTTGTCAAGTGTCGACAAATAACGTCCACAGTTATCAATTATCATGTGGGCTGGACTATATCGCGCTATGTCACGTGATTGCGTATGTTTGTTTCTTTATTTGTTCATCTTTATTTATTTTAGCTCTCGAACTGTTATTTCATGATCTTTGCCAATATAGCAAAATTTTGGTGTATACATGTGTTCGTACGATTTTTAGCTCACGAACTGTTATTTCAGGCTCTTTGTCAATATAGTAAAATTTTGGTGTATACATGTGTTAGTACGATTTTTAGTTCTAGAAGTGTTATTTTATGATCTTCGTTGATATATCAAAAATTTAACCTATACATGTGTTAGTACGATTTTTAGTTCTAGAACTGTTATTTCAGGCTCTTTCTCGATATAGCAAAATTTTGGTGTATACATGTATTAGTACGATTTTTTGTTCTAGAACTGTTATTCTTCAATTATTAGTTGTTCAAGTTGTTTGGTTTTTGCTTCAGTTTTTATGCCTTCGGTGTATTGCGCGTAGCGCCTATGTTATATAGGTCGTGATGGTTTTTTTATTCAGGAAAAGTTTTAAGAGTTGTCAGGCTCAAGTTTACTTTTTTGGTGATTTGTTTTTTAATTCAGTTCTTTTCCTTTGCTAAAAGGAAGGCAAACTCTACTGTCGAACAGCAAAAGTGTACAGGTCACGAAAAACATGATCGACTTCTGATTTCGAAAATGGAAATTGATTATCAGATTTCCCAGCGAAATGAAAGTTTTACGTATTGAACCAATTCTCTCAATTTGGGTTAATTTCAACATAAAATTGTCCATCATAAATTGTTCTACAAATTCAAAGAGCTTTATGGGCGTCTATTTTTTTCTTGGAAATTCGCAAGTTGAATTTTGTACTGAAAAACAGGTCTGTATTATTTTTGTGTTTACTTGCGTTCGTTGACTCTTTTCCAACTGTCTGTCTGTTGGCTGTGTTCTTGTGGCATCGGTTCTAATATCCGAAGTTTGTTTTCAGGGAGATGTATACATCGCATAGTGAAAGTCTACAAGCTATTGGCCAAATGTGGAATCAGCAACCAGCTTCTTTTATACACAGCTGTAGAAAAACAAGCCTACGACGTAGTCAAATTCCTACTTCAAGAAGCCTCGGCCAACGTCAATGGCGAGTACCCACCCGGATCACGCATGACGCCAATCCTTTATGCTCTGGACCCCTCTGGTATCTTTGGCTATATCCATGCTGGCCAGTACAAGCGCCGGAACTTAACTTATTCCAAAGAGGACTTCATGCGAGTATGCATCGAAGAAATGAGTTCAGAACACGACCCCCACGCAGAGTTGTTTGAGATACTAGTAGCGACTGGGTCCAATTTGAACGTTAGAGATCCGGACGGAAATTGTCCAGTGCATAGACTGGGAATTTGCAAGTACGAGAGTTCAAAACACGTGGACACCAAGATTTTGAAGATCATGCTATCCTGTAAACACTTCGACATCAACGCCAGAGGTAAAAAATATATAAGCAAAACTTTGCATACATTTGCTAACAATCAACTGACATCGTTTTTTACGATGTCAATTTTCGACATCCATTTTCGACCGTCCAATCCTCAAATTTTTCTCAAGGTGCCTTCAGAGTGTATATAAACAATTTGAAGAGAGAGCGCGCGCCGATAATACTTAAATTTCAAGTCACAACTTTCCCGTCAAGTCAAAGGGCCCGAATTGGTATTTCAAAAAAAAAACACTCCCTGGAAGATCCTAGGTCCGCCGCTGCTTAGACAAGAGAATATTCGATGATCCTAAGAAATATGCTTGCATAAGATGAGTAGGTTTGCCTTGATATTATTAAGATCATACGTCACAAAAAATAAAGATTGTCAAATTTTTGGTGGCTTAAAATAATCAAAACTGGTCAAAACTGACCGCAGCATAGAGTTTAGTGACCGCAGCATTTTCTTCGGCGGCTTTTTTGCGTAGGGGTAGAATATTGGGAGCAGATTTTTTAACTAGTTACAATGGGGTATTTGTGTACAAGATCGGGTATTGAGTTCGAGGTTTTACTAGAGTAGCGCTGTGATTGTGTTCGTTAACAGGTGCATTTGGCTATACTGCACTGCACATCTACGCGATGAAGAACTGCGAGGAGGAAGCGAGACTTTTGGTGGATAGAGGGGCGGATCTGGACGCACAGAATGACGACGGAGACACGCCACTGCACATCGCGCTCAAACTGGCACATATCAAAATAGCTATGATCCTGATCAAGTCCGGCTGCGATGTCAACAGACAGGGCGCACACGGCAACACCCCGCTGCACTATTGCGTCCAGAGACCAGACTGGCACTACGTCATCACGGAGCTGATCAACAACGGAGCCATTATCAACATCACCAACGACAAGGAAGAAGCACCATTACATCTAGCTGTCAAACACCCTCATGTCTGTATGCACTTAATAGACAACGGAGCACTGGTGAACAAACAGAGAACAGACGGATCAACAGTGCTACATATGTTCGCGAGAGCGGGTAATTACGAGTGTGTGAAGATGATGCTAGATGCGGATGCAGACGCCAATCTTCCGACTGTAGATGGTGAGATCCCTTTGCACTTGGCGGTGGACCACCCGAGGATACTGAAGTTGCTGTTGAACTATGGCTGTGACGTGGACAAGCAGGGCCTAGGAGGCAACTCTACGTTGCACTACTGCGCCGTCACTGGCAACCTCAGTGGTGAGTTGACTACAGCTTAAGCAAACTGATTTAAATTGGACAAGCGAAGTTAAACGTCCCTGGTTAAACCAAAGGATTAAAGTTCCGTGTACAAAGAATTCAAGTTCTTCTTTGTATACATTTGATTCAACCGCTCGTTTATTGGAAGATGGATTGCCGAAATATGAATTTTGATATTTTTGTATAGGTGGTTGTCAGCGTTGTAACTGTCTCTTGTTGAGTTGATGGCTTAAAAATGTCTTAAGTTTTCATCAAAATAATGATTGTATATTGGTATCGCACAATCGTGGATACGGCGTTATCTTTTATATTGCGACTTCTTTTTCTAAAGGTCCTCTAAGGTCTTCGATTAATACGTCATGTATAGCTCTTCTTATTAATACAATAGGAAATTGCTGGTGCTATTGTGACTGTGCAACGGGATTTGCAGATTAAGGTTGCTTCTGGGGGCAGGTTTAGAAAGCTAAATTGGATAGCGCCTCCTCTTCCAATCATCGGGAAAGGAAATCAATCAGTTGCGCTGTGTTGTCCAAGGTCACTGTTGAGACTCTTTTTAATTGGCTTCCTTCTTCGCCTCACCTCTTCTCGTAATGGATCGGAGCAAGGGATGCCCAACTAATCGCCGAAATTGATTGGAGCTCAAATTGCAAAATTGCAAAGTGTTCTTAATTCCATGTCACTTCCAATTTTCGAGCCAAATGCCGTAGCAATTTCTATCTTCTTCAACTGAAATTGATTGTATAAAAATAAAACAGAAGTTAAGCAATCTTGATTTTAATCTGCACAAACCAGGGTTGCAATGTTTAAAACATGTCTTGTGTAAAACTTGTTTAAAACATGTTTAACACAGTGTTTAAAACACTGAATAATTTAAAGTTCAAAACAACTTCCCCTGATCGGCTGATTTTCTTGTGTGCTTTGGCACTCTGAACTGTGTTCGCGGAAAATCTCCTTGATGGATTTCATGAACGAGGTGAAATTGAAAGAGCACGCAACTGGGGAAAAGTGCGACACACCGACTGCATATAGTTTCATTGTTTTTTATTTAAAACTTTTTTTTAAACTCGAAACGTGTTTTTGCAACCCTGCCACAAACAGGGTCTAAGGCTTTTTCCTTGACATTATAAAATAAAGAACACTTTTAAAATGAATGAGGCCATGATCAATAACGAATGGTTTGCATTTCCAACCGTTTATTGTTCCGACCATGGAACTTTGTATTCGTGTGTGTTTTAGTTTTTTTCTTTTTGTTTTCCACGCAAACTCAAGTACCTCAAATAATCATCGGACTGGGTCGAGTGATATATCATATTAAAGCTCTTTTAGTCGTGATTCGAACCACATTAAAAAATTCCCAAATTTCGAGCAAAAAAAAAGCGAGCGAGCAGTCGTATTTTAATTACTTGAAAGCTTACAATAGCTTAATTTAAAACGTAAAAGCTTACTTTTTATTGGATAACGTTAGTTTAATTTGAATATTTTAGCGCCTTTTTGGAATCAAATTTTTCAAAAAAAACTTGAAAATTTTAGAGAATTGTTTTTCTGATTTCGTTTTTCTGGTAATTTTTCTACAATAGTTGTTTTTCGTTTTGCTATTTTAGTATGGTTGTCGAATACACCTAAATCCCAGTTTTGTTCAGCTCCTGTGATCACATTACGCCGAAAAAAGACAATAATTTGAAAAAAAAACTTTGTTGTTTTTTTATTTGTTGTTTTTTATTAAGACTAGTCGGAACATTCTGTGATACTTGTACAGTAACCGGCTATCCTCGTTTTTTTTCATTTTTCTTTTTGTTTTCCGGTATTACAATCATAATCAGGTATTACAGTTAATCATTGGACTTGGTTGAGTGATATATCATATTAAAGCCCTTTCAGTCGTGATTCGAACGACACTAAAAAAAATTTTCAGTATCGAGAAAAACCGGTTTGACATTTTTGATTTTGGGATAAAACACTTCATAAATTCAATAAACTGCTTTTTGTTGATTTATTATTTTTGTAATTATTTTTCTGCAAAAAAATGTTTTCCAATTTGCGTATTTTACTGAAACTGTCGAAATTGTTTAAGCTTTAGTTTCTCGTTAAGATCATTTTATCACGCCGAAAAAAGACCCTAATTTGAAAAAAAAGTAGTTTTTTTTTAAAACGATGGTTGGAACATTCTGTGCTACTTGCACAGTAACCGGCTATCCTTGTTGGGTTTTGGAAAACGCCAATCAGTGCCAAAACGTTCATATTAACTCAAGAAATTGTCTATTTTATGGTTGTATTCTCGTCTTGGTTTGCAGAATAGACACGATTTAGGTAGTGTGTTTCACAGTTATACTCATCAATGACTGTTGGCTTATTTATAAAGGAGTTACGAAGATCCACTTTGTTTTAATGTTGTTTTTTTTGTAGAGGATTTAGTCGTGCAAAACTGTTATCATACTTGTAAGCTATCGCCTTCTACTTGGAAAGAATGTACTATTTGCGTTTTTCTTTCCAGGGATCCAAGCCTTAATCCAGTGTAGCTCCAATGTGAACCTGGTCAACGACACGGGCGACAGTGCTCTCCACGTGGCTACCAAATTCCCGGACATTGTTCGGTGTCTGCTGGAAGCACAAGCCAACGTCAACCTCCTCAACTGCATAGACAGACTGCCACTCCATTGTGCGGCCCTGGAACTGGAACACTGCGAGAACTGGTCTGCCCTGGTGGAGAGTGTGGAGTTGTTGTTGGACGAGGGAAGCGATGTATCGACTGTGGATAGGTCCGAGTGCACGCCATTGCACTACATTACAGCATTCCACCATCTCGGAAGATCAAGGTAAGCTTCCAAACACTATGTTACGCAAGTGAAACTTATCAAAATAGTCTGATAATTACATGAAAAATGGATATTTGCGCTGACATTTTTAAGACAAGCTTGTGAGTTTACTTTTTAACACTAAATCTGCATTCAAAAGGTTACTTGTTTTCGCTGTGGTTTTGTATTATTTGTTCCATATGTTTAATAAATTTTTACAGGTGCTCTGACTCAACAATTCACACACGTGACTTCAACTACGATCTGCTGCGTCTAGTGCAGAAGATACTGGAGACAGACAACGGACTGGTGAACAGAAAAGACAGCAAAGGTTGCACTCCGTTACACATCGCCATCGAGAACGGAGACCTGGAACTGACCGAGGTGCTTTTAAATCACCACGGGGATCCCTACATTCAAAACAAGTACGGCCAGACTTGTTTTGATATCGCCAAGACCTCACATGTGAAAGATGTGGCACCGGAGATTGCGGTTCTATTGAGTAGCAAAGAGGCCATGATGAAACACGGAGGCATGAACTCCTATGGTATGCATGGTATGGGAATGGGCGACGGGTGCTACGGGGGAGGAGGAGGGGGAGGCGGCATTTCGTCTGTGGTAGTCAATGGAGACCAGGTGCTGGGGGTGCTAGAATGTCTTCTCGAGTCCATCGATGACGAACAAGAGCGGGAGGAACTTGGGGAGGCGGTGGGTGTTGTGAAAGGAGTACTGGACAAGTACGGTCTGCCCCCCAACTGTGTGCTGGGAGTGGGCGTGGGTGGAGTGGGTATTGGGGGAGTAGGTGGTGCTGCAGGGGCGGGAGGGGGACTGTCGAAGGAGCACAGGGAGACTGTGAAGCAGGTGAGGGGCACTCTGCTGGAGGAGATGAGTCCCCTCTACATCATTGATGCCTTCCTCAACCAAAGGTAGTCAGCCACGTCACATTATCACTACACCAGGATTTTTACTAATCAATCGAATTCAATAATTTTAGGTGCGGTTAGAAAAATTTACAGCACCGAATATTTTGAAGTAATATGGATTTGCTGTTTCCACGAACCAAAATTGTTCAAACTTCTAGATTTGCTGTTGTTGTCAATTGGTCAAATGATTGATTGTAGTGTACTTACACAGAAATCGTTCTTTTTTGAAGATTCGATGATTTTAGTGAACTTATATAGGTCATGATGAGTTGTTTTGGTTTTTGTCTGAAAATTTGTTCGTGCTCAGTATTGATTTTTGCTGTTTGATTTTTTTCGAAATATGTTCATTTTGTTAAAAGAAAGACAAATTCCACTATGTAATAGCAAAAGTCTAAAAGTCACCAAAAATCTGATTGCCTTCGAATTTCGATTTTAAGTTTCAGGTTTTCCATTGGACTAAAAGTTTTACTCATTGGTCCAGTGTTTACACGTGCGTAGCGTAGTGTGATAGTACGAGGCAACTTTTTTTTCAACTTAGGTCGCAAATAAAGGTGCTCTTTTGGTGGCAATTTTAAACAAGTAGACTGCCTTAGCAGTATATTTACATGTGCTCCGTCATTTGATTACTAATCAGTTAACACGTTGATGCTTCTTTAATTCATCAATTGAACCAAAAAAAGGTATTTGTTTCATACGACAGTATAATAATTAAAACTCCATTTCAGAATTTTCCAACTCGATTTACGTCGCGAGAATTTTCAATTTATGGATATTTATGCGCAGTTTGATTCAATACATTCCAATTTATTATTTGCAATATTGGTATTATTGCCTTTAATTTATTACCTTCCTAAATATTATATGCAAAATTGAGTTTTTGTGCTTTTTAAAGGTCCCGTATCTTTGCCGCTTTCTTGCTCGTCTTTGCGAAGTTTCAGCTTCGCCTTTGTCTCAAGTTGTGTTTTATTTATCAAAAAAAGTGTTAGTCATAACTTGTTTTTGAAATTCAAAGCTTTAAGGCCATATATTTTTTTCTTTGAAATTTGAAAGTTGAAGTTTTTTCAATGGTATTTTTTTCTGTTTTCTTGGGTTCTTTGACTCTTCTCCGAATGTCTGTTGGCTATGTCAATCAATTTTAACCCTAGAGATTAACAGTTTTATTGCAACCGGGAACAAGATTCTTCATCCGTAAATTTAAGTCAAGATTCGTTTTTTCGTCAAAATAAACTTTTCACCGTGTTTCATACTAGTATTATAAAATGTTCTCTTCTTTAGTTATGAGAAAGCAATTAATGAAGTTATATAATAGCTTGAATTTTTCTCATGGTTAAGGAAATTGATTTTTATGAGAACTGCAAAAATTGAATTTTTGATATTTCAGCCGACAAACTGCTCAACGGATTTCTATTTTTTCATTTCCTCCCCCAAGTTCTGTAATTTGTAATTTTACCAAGTCTAAATTAAGATGTATCGCAATTTTTTTTCCTCATTTTTTAAAATTCAAATAGTTTGTGTTTTTGGCTTTGTCAACTTATATTGCTTAATTTTGAGGGCAAATTTATTTGTATAGGATTATGTGTTTCAATATGGATGTGTCGTAAAAACTTTTGAAACTTCATGAATTTTTATGACAACAGTTTTGTTTTCGGCTCAACAGGTTTCGACCCAAACTTTGTCGCCTTTGTTGCCGTTCGGTGAATGGTTTCCGATTATTTTTGAGGCTATTTATGAACTTCATCCGATACAATCATAAAGTTTTTGTAAGTTATCTACAAAATGTTTAACTTTTCAATTTTTTTTTCAAAGTAATTTTTTCAACTTAATTTCTCAGAATTTTTGGTTCGGCTTCTATCGTTTTCCACTGACTATACTATAGCGCAATGTGTATTGTAATGCGAAGTGTTTCGAGCCAGTTCAATACTGGCTGTTGTGCTCTGCCACAGGTTTTCATCAAAATGAGTTTCAGTTTGAAACAAACCTTGGAAAAATTTGGGTGTTTTTTTTGGCATTTTGTCAATTTTTTATACGTGTCTGTGGCTTTGTCTTTCGCAAATGCGCAAGTGGTGCGAAGCTCAGCTTCGCCTCTGTGTAAAATTTGTTCACGCCAAAAATTAATTTTCAGCTGTTTGACTTCTGATTTATTTTTAAGTGCAGTTCATTTCATGGCAGACCTCGCAAGGAAACCTCACAAGGAAGGCGTTGGCGAAAAGTGTAAATTTTAAGAAAAATGCGATTGACTTCTTTTTGTGAAAGTGGGTTTCATTTTCACAATTGCTAGCGGAATAAGAAAGTTAACTGATCTGGTTCTTTCGAATAGAGATATTTTTTATCAAAAAAGTGGCAATCATAAATTGTTCTTGATCTTCGAAGAGCTTTAAAGGCATATATTGTTTTTCTTTTTCCATGTGTTCATTGACCCTTTTCCAATTGTCTTTGTTGTGTATTGAATTATTGGGCTGTTTTGTGTCATGAATATGAAGGTTGATTGTGACTTGGGATGGGTGTTGTGTTTAGTGTTCTTAGCAGCGGGGCGGCGGCCGACATGAAAAGTGCGGGCAGCAGGAGACTTCAAAGTGAGCGACTTCTCTCCTTCCTCGTCTGCAGTCCAGACCAAATGTTCGACCTATTCTACAACACACTGCGACACACAAACCAGTCTCATCTAGCTGACGTCCTAGCCCAACATGCTCACTGCATGTGTCACAATTTCTCACACAGCAACAACAGCAGTAGCAGCAGTCATTATGCTTCTCACCACCACGCCCAAACAGGTAGTCATCGAAACACAAACAACAACAACAACATGGCGCTCCCCTCAGGGGCTGGTATGCACGCGGCCACCCAATCGCAGCACACTCACGCTGCCAACTACAACATGCCCCCCTCACACTCTCCGTCAACAGAGTTATTAAGCAGTAGTGAGAATATACCCCCACCCCCGCACCCCAACGTTGTAGGACCAGGGGGTGGTGGTATTTCTACTCAAATGAACGGAGTGTGCTCTTCACAAATGGCTGCTCAACAACATACATATTCCACTTCGTATGCAAGAAGTAGAGCTCCGATCCCGCCTCCCCCTCCTCCGCCCATAGGAGGGGGGACCTCGACCAGATTAGGAAGTTCATCGCCCACTAATATGTCTGGTGGAGTCCTCTCAATACACAACCCAGCCAATTCCTTACTAATGAGGCCACCATCTGCTAGTCCCCCACCTACAATGGGTGAAAGTTAATGGATGAAAAGGGGGGGGGCGAACATTTTAGATGTGACCCTGTTTCGGGTCTATTGTTTCGGGTCTATTGATCCATGAACTGAAACTTGCCGGTCAAGTTCGGAGTGTTGGAACCGAATCTAATCTTATGTACAGTGGCTTTACTCTAATGACAACGACTTGCAAGAAGTTCAACTTTATCTTGTGTACTTTCAAATAATGACAGTTTAGGGACGGTTGTGTCCGGCCGGAAACAGCCGGTTCCCCTCAAAATCGACTTATTAAATGATGTTTAATTCGTAATCTATCTCTATTTTTCTCGCTTCTATGCATCTGTAGACCTATCTCTTAATGTCTCAGTGATCCCAACTGTTACTAGTAATTTATGAGCAAACTTCAATGTCATAAACATCATGCTACCACACAAGGGCGAGAATGTGAACCTAATCGCAATAGCTGTATTGAAAGGGTTTAGTTCAAGGAATAGATGAAACAAGTTAGCTCGAAAAGGACAATAAAGATTGAGATCAGTTTGAAGTAGAGACGGACGGATGCAATATACGGTTTTCTTCTTCTTTTCCATTTGACATCAGCAGTGATGCTCTGTTCTTTTAATAATTAATTACAACAAAACAGTCCATCGTCTATTTAGTCCAACTTACAAATTTAAATAACATTAAAAATTCAATTCTACTGTGCAATGTTTCAATTCAGTTAAACCCACCTTTGCTATATTTTATTGCAGCAATCCGTTTATAGTGCAATATAAAGATTTCTATGTAAATAAGTAGTCTTTTTAATAGAAGATAGCGCTCTTTTCAATAGCGTATTTGTATTTTTATATTAGATCCATTTATAAATTCAATCCAGCAATGAATTGCAAAATTTGAATCAAACCTTTTACGAATGAAGTTTCGAAAGTGTCTTCGAACCAAAGGAATGGCGACAGACTTAGTGATGAATATTAAAATTGATTGGGACGTGTTAGCATAGTGCATAGTAAATAACGTCTGTTCGCGTGTGAAAAATGGTCATTCACCACCATAAACGTATTTACAGAGGAAGTACCACGAATGCTCAAATCATGGGCAAAATCTGATTGTTCCAACTGCCTCCGAAGTTGTATAAAATATAAAATGGTTTTCGTTGAGAGTTTTAATCAACGTCTAAAATTTCTACAGATCAACTTTTCCTCAAATGCAATTCCAATAAACTAACATTTCTCAAAATGCAATGAATGCTACTATGTGACATCAATTTCTAACAATGCATCACTTACACTTATTTACACAAGCATAGCTTGTGTTATAGTATGAACTTTCCTTTTTTTTTAACCTAAGTCACAAATAATGTTTTTGAAAGTGTTCATTTTTATTCAGCTAATAATTACAGCTAATGCTAAGGATATTAACACAGACTATTATATTACAAATAGCACTTTAGCTTCAAGGTATCATGGATCTGTAGCGTAGAGGTAGGGAAGGAGACCAGCAACAAAATATGAGGGTTTGAACCTTGGCAGGGTCGGATGTTTTTAGTGAACTTTTTCAACTACTAGTTAAAATGCGTCCGCTCTATAAACTGAGGCATGTTAGTTGGTAGATTTTTTTTTTCAAATTGACTGGTACTGCTAATACGTCATAATTGGCTTGCGTCACTTAGCAACTATGTAGACTCATAATTGGCGTGCGTCACTTAAGAAATTTTGTAGACTCGTAGTTTAAATCATTCAGTTTCCACAGTAGCGTCATCGGTCATATTTTGCTTGTGTATGCGAAGTGAAACTTCGCCTCTGTGTATAACTTTCCTCAACAGGAAAAACTTTTAACATTGATTCGTAGCAGAAGCGTTGGACTTATTACAATGCTGATTTCAATTATCCGAAGGAAACGATAAAACCTGAGGCATTGAACACGTTTTCTCAAATTGTGTGCAATTTGAACAAAAGAAATTAAGACAAAAACTGCTATGTCCAAAGAATTGTTACGTGCAATTTGTTTTTGAACAAGCGAGCTTGTGAGCGTAAATTTATCAGGACAGTCATTTTTTAAATCTTAATCGAGCATTTTATTGAAAAAACCATTGAATTGCCTTTTGGAAGATATCGATACCTTGAGCACAAATATAACAAGAGGCGCAGAATTTTCCGACCATAGTCTTAAAAAATACAAAAATGTACCAAAGTGTACCATTAAAATGATCAGAACGAAAAACTAGAACATAGACCTATTTGTCATTCATAGTAAATACGCAAATTGGACAACAGTTTTTGTAGAAAAATTACTAGAAAAACGAAAATTAGTTTTAATAAATCAAAATCTGAAATTTTTTGAAGTTTTTAAATCGCAATATGAACTCCAACGACCAATTTTTCTCGAATAAAAATAAAATAAGGCACGAATAAGCTATTCTAAATGGCTTATATTAAGCATAAGAGGGACTGCTCGTGTTTCTCAAACGTGTTTTTCCCGGCACCAAGAATTTTTGTTTCAGATCATGACTGAAAGAGCTTTGATCTGATATATCACTCGGATTAAAATCGCGTAAGGATTTGTATAACGAATTATCGAAGGCTAATTTTTTTGTGTACCGATCATTTAAAATGAGGAGGAGCTTTGTATTCGGTTGTGTTCATGTTTTTTCACGCAAAATCAGTACCACAAACTTTCATCGGAATGGATGGTACTGATTTTGCGTGGAAAACGAAAAAAAAAACATGAACACACCCGAATACAAAGTCCTTGTTAAACGAAATCAAAATTCAAAGCGCCAAAATTACCAGTGCAATTTGAATTGAATTTCATTGCGTACATCAAATTCACCACGAGATCTTAAAGGTAACGAAGAGGCCTGGGACGGCAAAAGTCATGGATTTGAGTCTGACCAGGACTTCTTTTTTTTTTTCAAATGGAAAATATTCTGTTTCAAAAAAAGGTTGCGGGCCAATTATTTGTCCGTTTATCTTTTCTCGACTTTAGGTGCCAGATCTTGGAATCGTTTTGTTTTCGCTGCGCGCCTTTTTAAATGTTGCTTTTAAAGTTTGATTTACTCATGTAATTGTACTATTTTTCTTACCTTGGCTTCATATTTCTTTTTTTTGTTTTGCCTAAACACTATCGGTTGAGTGACTCAGTTTCGGGTCACTTTAAGGGAAAGTTACTTTTTACGCTCCCAACCGCAATTTTCAAATTGGCTAGTTTTTTACCACTCAGTTTGTTGAAGTTTCTTTATCATTTTATTTTTTTTTGGGTTTATAGGTTTCGGCTTATCAACCTAGAGAATACACTTTTTTCGGGTTAACTTGTTTAACAGAATCACTTGTATCTTGGCTCATAAGCACTCAAACTTCTATGCATTTTAGCCTGTAGTTATGAATAGGCCTGAGACGGCAAATGCCATGGGTTCGAATCTGACCAGGACATGATTTTTTTTCAAACGGGAAATATAGTTTCAAAAAAATTGTCGGTGAATTATTTGTCTGCTTATCTGTTGTCGGCTAAGTTGGCACATCTTGAAATCGTTTTTTTTTTGCTGTGCGGTTTTTTTTTCAATGTTACTTTTAGTGGTTGATTCATTCCTACAATTGTAACTTTGATTTCACTTGCCTTGACTTCGTATTTCCTTTGTTGTTTTTGCTTAGCTTAAAAAATTTCCTCTGCACAATTTATTTTGGCCTATTTTTTATCGGTTTAGTTCTATTTTTGTGTCTTTTCAAGGGAAACAACTTGAACACGCCCCTCCGCACTTTTCATGTTGATTGTATGGTTACCAATCGGTTCATAGATTAATTGAAAGATTGCCTACTCCCCTGTGTACCTGTACGCTCGAGTCTCTTTTGACTTGATACCTCTGTCTAAAGCCTTCGAAAAAGTCTGTGGGAAATATTTGACCCATATTTTTGATTTTTTAAAGTTTTTTATCGCTTTTTCGAAAAATAGCCCTCTCAAATCCGAGTGTTTGGTTTCAATGAATGGAGAGTTTTCAAGAACTCCGGAATAAGTGGCTACGCCCAATTTAATTATACAAATTTATGACCCTCGGAATAGTCAAGTGTTTGATTTTTGACCGTTTTTTAAACTTTTTGAATATTCTACTCTGCCAAACTTTCGAACACTATTCTTTCATATGAGATATTTTGGGTTCAATGCAACGAACGGGTTGTGGAAAGCTCATTTGATTATGCGACTACTTCCAAATTTTTCTGCCACCAAAATTTATGGCCATAAAAAAAGTCAAAGTTTTGAATTTTGACCGTTTCTTCTAGAAGTTTTTCACATTTCTCGGGAACTACCCTCCCAAATCTGAGGAAGTTTAGTGGAAATTACAGGTTGAGTGAATTCCTTCTGCATAACCTATTTTTTCACACAAAAAGCTATGATTCTCGGAAATGCTAAACTTTTGTTTAGTCGATCTTTGTTTGGATTTTTATCGACAACTATCCTGCAAAGTCTGATATCATAGGTTTAATCAAAACAACAGGTTGTTGAAAGCTTACCTTTATAACTGGCTATACCCATTTTGTTTAAAAAAAGTTATGACCTTCAAACAAATCGATGTTTTGAATAGGCCTGAGACGGCAAATGCCATGGGTTCGAATCTGACCAGGACATGTTTTTTTTTTCAAACGGGAAATATAGTTTCAAAAAAATTGTCGGTGAATTATTTGTCTGCTTATCTGTTGTCGGCTAAGTTGGCACATCTTGAAATCGTTTTTTTTTGCTGTGCGGTTTTTTTCAATGTTACTTTTAGTGGTTGATTCATTCCTACAATTGTAACTTTGATTTCACTTGCCTTGACTTCGTATTTCCTTTGTTGTTTTTGCTTAGCTTAAAAAATTTCCTCTGCACAATTTATTTTGGCCTATTTTTTATCGGTTTAGTTCTATTTTTGTGTCTTTTCAAGGGAAACAACTTGAACACGCCCCTCCGCACTTTTCATGTTGATTGTATGGTTACCAATCGGTTCATGGATTAATTGAAAGATTGCCTACTCCCCTGTGTACCTGTACGCTCGAGTCTCTTTTTACTTGATACCTCTGTCTAAAGCCTTCGAAAAAGTCTGTGGGAAATATTTGACCCATATTTTTGATTTTTTTAAGTTTTTTATCGCTTTTTCGAAAAATAGCCCTCTCAAATCTGAGTGTTTGGTTTCAATGAATGGAGAGTTTTCAAGAACTCCTGAATAAGTGGCTACGCCCAATTTAATTTATACAAATTTATGACCCTCGGAATAGTCAAGTGTTTGATTTTTGACCGTTTTTTAAACTTTTTGAATATTCTACTCTGCCAAACTTTCGAACACTATTCTTTCATATGAGATATTTTGGGTTCAATGCAACGAACGGGTTGTGGAAAGCTCATTTGATTATGCGACTACTTCCAAATTTTCCTGCCACCAAAATTTATGGCCATAAAAAAAGTCAAAGTTTTGAATTTTGACCGTTTCTTCTAGAAGTTTTTCACATTTCTCGGGAACTACCCTCCCAAATCTGAGGAAGTTAAGTGGAAATTACAGGTTGAGTGAATTCCTTCTGCATAACCTATTTTTTCACACAAAAAGCTATGATTCTCGGAAATGCTAAACTTTTGTTTAGTCGATCTTTGTTTGGATTTTTATCGACAACTATCCTGCAAAGTCTGATATCATAGGTTTAATCAAAACAACAGGTTGTTGAAAGCTTACCTTTATAACTGGCTATACCCATTTTGTTTAAAAAAATTTATGACCTTCAAAAAAATCGATGTTTTGAAACTTCGACTTTTTGATTTCCGCGAAAACTACAGTGGCAATTCTCAGGTTGTGTTCAATCGAGAAACCCGGCTTTGAAATCTTCTCTGCTTAAGCGGCCACAACCTGCTCTTTGCAGGAAAAATTCTTGGATTTTGAAAATCCTTTT